CCCAGACCCCAGACGTCATGATTTGTCCATGACGTCGACCAACGGAGGTCTCGACCCATCCTTTGGGACCGGCTTTTCATCACGGGTAGTTACTTGACGGTCCCGAGGCCCGGTAGAGGCCACCAGACGCCGAGAAAGTAGCGACAAACTTCATGACTCGAGGGGGTCTGGTGTTGTCGATGGTGTGTCGTCGTCGGTGCCGCCGCTCACATGTTGCCTCTTCTGCAGGTCACCACCCACCAAACCACTCCAACCTAACCCGAAGGCTTCACTTTGCCCTCCATTTTGAGGTGGAGGTTCGGGGAACATTGAAAAAAAAACATATGGAACCCGTACCCCCCCAACTCGAAATTCGGGTCTTCGGTTATGTTGCTCCCATCCTACTTAGGGACCGCATCCCAGAAATAATTTCGAGCACCCAAAAAAGTGTCGAAAGAGTGTCGAAACAGTGTCCGGCGAGTGTCTCCCAGGGCCCGACACGTGAAAACCCTTGAGTTTCGGTACTTTTTTGGCCCCTCGAAATTCTTCCTGGTGATTAAGGCTGAAACAGGTTGGAGCATCAGAAGTCTTCGGGTTGGGTGGGGGTGGTCTGGTAGGTAGTCCGCAGGCGCTGCTGGCGGTCAAGGTGCACGGCATGCGCGCCGTGGGGCCCTGCGCCTCGCTCGCGGACGGCGAGGGCTTCGCCGTGCGGGCGGTGTTCTGCTGATGGGCCGGCTTCCCACCACCACCACACGTTGGAGGGGGGAAGGAGGAAGAGGAGGAGGAGGAGGAGGAGGACCCCCTGCCCCCCAAACTTGTGGTGGCGGTGGTGGGTTACTGGCCTGTTTCCCACCACCACCACCGCACGTTGGAGGGGGGAAGGAGGAGGAGGTGGAGGAGGGGAAGGAAGAGGAGGGGGAGGACCCCCTGCCCCCCAGCTTGTGGTGGCGGTGGTGGAAAACTGGGCCATCATCTGCGGCGCGGACGGCGGCACCGCCTCGTACGCCTCGAAGCCGAGCGTCGCGCGCAGCCAGGGCGCCGCTGGGGTGCGCGGCGGCCTGCCGGACGGCAAGACCGTGAGGATCGTTCAGGAGGGGAAAAACACACAGACACAATTAACCGTCGATCCCGAGGGAAAGATGGGCAAGTATTGGGAGTGGGGGGGAAGACGAAAACCCAGAGAATGTGTGAAAATATTGGGGATGCTGCGGCGTCGCGCAGTGGCCCGGAGGTCCTCGAGCGATGCCACGTTTTCGAGCCAGGGAGGAGGAGGAGGCGGCGGAGGAGGAGGCGGAGGAGGAGGCGGAGGAGGAGGAGGAGGCGGAAGAGGAGGAGGATGAGGAGGAGGAGGAGGCGGAGGAGTTTCTGCTCGTGTTCGGGCCTCGGGACCCTCACGGATCGATCCAGCTCGAAAGATGGCGCAGAAGGATGGGGTCCAGGGCTCTGGTCGCGATATTTGGCGGTGTCGCAGTTTTCTTCGCAGCAAAGGCGATAAAAGGAGGGGGGGGCAGCGAGGACTGCAGAAGAGGGGCTCTCGAGGGCCCCTGGAAGGCCCTTGATAACCCAGAAGGGGGCCACTCGTGTCGAAGAAGTGCAGCTCCTGTCTCCCCACCATCAAGCGCTCGAGGATTGTGCGCAACCTCCACGCGACGCAGCCGCAGATGTCCGCGGCCGCGATCGCCGAGGCCACGGAGGTCACCGAGGATGGGGCGACGAAAGTTGTGTGCATGTCCCTTGCCCCAGACCTGGCCCCGGGCCTTGGATCGATGATTCTTTGGCTTACGTCGCACCGCCGACCCCTCGGAGTAGAGTCGCTGTTGCTGCTTCTGGGTGCTGCGTGACTTATGCTTGTGTTTATATCAAAGACGCCTACGGCGAATCGCCGCCGCCCCCTGCCCCTTTGGAAGCGCTTCTGTGGCCGACAGCTGGGCCAGAGCTTGACCAAGCTATCGGGCCAGTTGTTCCCCGAGTCTGTTTGGAAAGACTTTTGGGAACGCATGGGGGAGCAAGAAGAGGAGGAGGGGGAGGATGAGGAAATAAAGAGGAGGATGAGGAGAAGGAGGCCTGTTGGGCGCCTCTTGGGACACTTTTGGGGCCTCCTGGGAGCTTCCCGGGGGCCTCTTGGACGGTTTTGGGGGGTCTTCGGGGGCTTCTTCGGGCCCTCTTTGGCTGTCTTCCGTCTCGGGGGCCTGTCTGGGTCGTCTTGGGGCCCTCTTGGGGCGCATCAGGGGTTCTTAGAGGCCATGCCATCTTGGGCGTCTTGGAGGCCTCTTGGGCCATTTCGGGGCCCTCTTTGGGCCGTCTTGGGGGCCTTTTGGGCCGTCATGGGGCCATCTTGGAGGCCTCTTGGGCGATCTGGGGGGCCTCTTGCGCCGTCTTGAGCCGTCGGAACGCCGAGAAGAAGCACATGCCAAAATCTTTCAAACACCCTTGGATAATCATTTTTTGTTTGCCTCTTCGTGCCCTCCTGGACGACCTCCTGGACGCGTTTTGGTCTGCCTTGGAGGCCTCTTGTGGGCCTCTTCGGCTGTCTTGGAGCCCTCTTGAGGCCATCTCAGGCCGTCTTGGGTGCATCTTGGGCTGTCTTTGAGGCCTCTTGGGGCCATCTTAGCCGTCTTAGATGCTATGCTGGCTTTCTTGGGTGCCTCTTTGGCCGTCATGGGGCCATCTTGGGGGCCTCTTGGGCTGTCATGGGGCCATCTTGGAGGCCTCGTGGGCGATCTTGAGAGCCTGCCTCTTGGGTCGTCTTGAGCCGTCGGAATGCCGAAAAGAAAGGAATGCCTAAATCCTTCAAACACCTAAGGACAATCAATGATTTTGGCCTCTTCGGCCCCTCCTGGAGGACCTCTTGGAGGCCTCTTGGGCCGTCTTGGAGGCCTCTTGGGGGCCTCTTGGGCCATCTCAGGCAACGTGGAGGCCATCTCAGGCCGTCTTGGGTGCATCTTGGGCCGTCTTGGAGGCATCGTGGGGTCATCTCAGCAGTCTTGGAGACCCTCTTGGGCGTCTTGGAGGCCTCTTGGGCCGTCTTGGGGCCCTCTTGGGGGCATCTTGGAGGCCTTTTGGGCCGTCACTGGGCCATCTTGGAGACCTCTTGGGGCGATCTTGGGGGCATCTTGGGCAGTCGGAAGGCCGAACAGGCGAAAATGCAAACATCCTTGAAACACTTAGAAACACTACCTTTTCGGGCCTTCCTGGAGGACCTCTTGGAGGCCTCTTCGGCTGTCTTGGAGCCATCTTAGGGGGCTATTGGGCCGTCTTGGGCCAGCTTTACTAGGCCGTCTTGGGTGCGTCTTGGGCCGTCTTGGAGGCATCTTGGGGCCATCTTAGCCGTCTTGGAGGCCATCTTGGCCGTCTTGAGCGATCTTGGAGGCCATTTTAGGCCGTCTTGGAGCCGTCCAGAGCAGGAACAACCTTTTGGAACCGGATTTGGAAGATCTTTCCGGGTGGACTTCGGGACGGGCCGAAGCCCCAGGGAGATGTTCTTTTTTGGAAAAGAACCAACACCGCAAGGGTCTAGCACGCCACGCGCCCCTGCGATGAATCGACAGGGGGCGGCGGATCGAAGACGCCTGCGGCGAATCGCCGCCGCCCCCTGCCCCTTTGGAAGCGCCCCTGTGGCCGACAGCTGGGCTAGAGCTTGGCCAAGCTATCGAGCCAGTTGTTCCCCGAGTCGGTTTGGAAAGGCTTCGGGGAATGCATGGGGGAGCAAGAAGAGGAGGAGGGAGAGGATGAGGAAACAAGAGGAGGAGGAGGAAGAGGAGGAGGCCTCTTGGGCGCCTCTTGGGGCACTTTGGGGGCCTCCTGGGAGCTTCATGGGGGCCTCTTGGAGGGTTCTGGGGGGCCTTTGGGGGCTTCTTGGGAGCCTCTTTGGCCGTCTTAGGGCGTTCCTGGCTTGTCTGGCGCTGTCGGAAGCAGTCTTGGGGGCCTGTCTGGGTCGTCTTGGGGCCCTCTAGGGGCATATCACGTGTTCTTAGAGGCCATCTTGGGTGTACTGGAGGCATCTTGGGCCGTTTCGGGGCCCTCTTGGGGCCGTCTTGGGGGCCTTTTGGGCTGTCATGGGGCCATCTTGGAGGCCTCTTGGGCGATCTGGGGGGCCTCTTGCGCCGTCTTGAGCCGTCGGAATACCGAGAAGTAAATGGCAACATATTTCAAACACCTTAGGACAATCTATGCTTTGAGCCTCTTCGTCCCCTCCTGGAAGACCTCCTGGCCGCATTTTGGGCTGCCTTGGAGACCTCTTGGGGGCCTCTTGGGCCGTTTTGGGCCATCTTGAGGCCATCTTAGGCCGTCTTGGGTGCATCTTGGAGGCATCTTGGGGCCATCTTAGCCGTCTTGATGGCAATTTTAGCCGTCTTGGAGGCCTTTTGGGCCCTCTTGGGGCCGTCTTGGGGGCCTCTTGGGCCGTCATGGGGCCATCTTGGAGGCCTCGTGGGCGATATCGGGGGCCTCTTGGGTCGTCTTGAGCCGTCGGAATGTCGAAAAGAAGCAAATGCCAAAATCCTTCGAAAACCTAAGGAACTAGTCAATGACTTTGGCCTCTACGGGCCCTCCTGGAGGACCTCTTGGAGGCCTCTTGGGCCGTCTTGAGGCCTCTTGGGCGCGTCTTGGGCCGTCTGAGGCCATCTGGAGGCCATCTCAGGCCATCTTGGGGGCATCTTGGGCTGTCTTGGAGGCATCTTGGGACCATCTTAGCCGTCTTAGATGCCATCTTGGGCGTCTTGGAGGCCTGTTGGGCCGTCTAAGGGCCATCTTGGGGCCGTCTTGGGGGCCTCTTGGGCCGTCATGGGGCCATCTTGGAGGCCTCGTGGGCGATCTTTGGGCGATCGTGGGGGCCTCTTGGACCGTCTTGAGCCGTCGGAATGTCGAAACGAACCAAATACCAAAATCCTTCAAACGCTATGGATAATCAATAATTTTGGCCTTTTCGGCCCCTCTCTGGAGGACCTCTTGGAGGCCTCTTGGGCTGTCTTGGAGGCCTCTTGGGCTGTCTTGGAGGTCATTTGAGGCCGTCTTGGGGCAATCCTGGGCTCGTGGAGGCATCTTGGGGCCATCTGAGACGTCTTGGAGACCATCGTGGGCCGTCTTGGAGCCGTCTGGAGAAGGAACAACCCTGTGCAACCCCCTCCGAAAGGGTCTGGGCAATCTTCCCGGGTGGCCGGCGCGACGGGCCGAAGCCCCAGGGGGAGTTCTTTTGGAAAAAGAACTAAAACCAAAACCGACAGGATTCAGCACGCCAGGCACCCTTGCGATGAATCGACAGGGGGCGGCGGATCTAGTGGCCTTCGGCCCATCCCGCGCCGGTGCCTGGGTTGTGGTTCAGAGGCCTCTTGGATGTTCATTGGGATCTCGTGAGAAGCCTCTCCGAGGCCTGCCCGAGGCAGTTTGGATGCCTCCGGGGGGCTGTTTTGGGGCCTCTCGGGCGTCTTTTGGGTCTCTCGGAGGTCTCTTGGAGGCTTGGGACCTCTTGGAGCGGAAAGCTAGAATTTTCTGTTCGTGGTCCCTTTCTTGGGCCCCTCTGGGCGCCCTCTTGGAGCCCTCTTGGGCTATCTTGAGGCCCTCTTGGGCCGTCTTGGGGCCTTCTTGGGGGCCTCTTGGGCGGCCTTGGGGCGGTCTTGGGGGCCTCTTAGGCCGTCTTCGAGCGTCGGAAGCCCGAAATGGCGAGAAAACCAAAAACCTTGAAAAAAAACATGTGAACATCAACGATTTTGGCCTGTTGGGGCTGGGGCCCTCTTGGGTCTTGGGAGGTCTCCTCGAAGCCTCTTAGGTCGTCTTCGAGGTATCTTGGGCCGTCTGGAGGCCATCTTGGTCGTCTTGGGACGATGATTCGGCGACTCGGGGCCCTCTTGGACCGTCGTCTTGGCTTGGAGCCATCTTGGGCTATCTTGGACGCCCCGACCGCTCGCGAAACGCCCCGTCCAGGTCCAGATGGAGGGGGTAGGGGGAGGGGTGAACCCCTCCCCGAAAGGGAAGAGGGAGGGGTGGAAAAGGAAACGCCTTAGACTACGCCCAGAGGGCTGGTGGGATTTTGAAGCCGAGCCGCCCTCAATCCGTGAAACTCGTGCAATTTGTGATAGCGAATGCGCGCGGCGCTAAGGCGAGATCTAGATAAGCAAATATCCGCCTTCAATCCGTGAAACTCGTGCACACTAGCGAATGCGCGAGGCGCTAAGGCGAGAGCTATACTTTGAAACCGAACCGCCCTTAATTTGTGAATCTCCTTTAATTTGTACAACGAAACCGCGCGGCGCCAAGGCGAAAACTAGATTTTGAAAACAAGCCTGGAGGGGGGCGGATTTGTTGTTTGGCACGGTGCTAAGGTTTTCATTCCACTAAAATCGCCCCCTTGAATATATTTTTTGCGCGGTGCGAAGGTAAGGGGGGGGTCTTAAATGTTTCTTGAGGTTATGATCCAGGGTTCGGGCCCCCCCCCCTCTTCCTCATGCTGATGCCATCGGCCCCCACCCCGCCCACGAGCTGGGCCCCTCGCCCTGTGGGCGTTGCGTGGCGGGGTCTTCCTCTGTGGGCGTGCGGTGGTGGGTATGGGGTCCGGCCCTTCCCCCCATCAGGGAGGAGGGGGAGGAGGAGGAGGAGGAGGAGGAGGAGGAGGAGGAGGAGGAGGAGGAGCAGCAGGAGGACGACGACGGCATCAGTGTCGGCATCGATTCGCCGTCAGCGGCATGACGTCGTCGTCGTCGTGGTCGTCGTCGTCGTCGACGTCGTCGTCGTCGACGTCGTCGTCGTCGACGTCGTCGTTGTCCCCCCCCCTCCTCCATCCCATCTGGGCGTTGGGGTGCCGAGGGGCCCTGAGACCCATCCCAACGGGTGGGGGGGGGGGCCGTGAGCCCAGAGCCCGGGAGCATATACACCCTCGGTCCATCCGCGGCCACCATCGGTGGCCGCGCCCCGCTCGAGAAGCTTCGAAATGGTCCTCCGAGGCCCTTGCATCCTTACAGTCAACCATGATAGTAAGGATGGGGCAACTTTCCGAGGCTACCCTTGCACCCTTGCCCCCTCGGTATTCGGCATCCTTCGGCATCGTGCCGCGCTCCGCACAGAGAACGTCAACATGGCGTTCCAAGGCCCTCGCATCCTTACCGCGCATCCTTACAGGCGGCCCGGATTAGTAGGGCGACCCTGCCAGATCGAGGGTACCCTCGTGTCCTGTGTCTTGCGACCCATGCCTCCTGCATTTCCGTGGCAACTACGTGGCCCTCGGAAGGGTCTTGTGTCCTCTCGCGTGTACTCTCCAATCAAGTCCGACTGTACTATCCTGGTCGAGTGTATCGCGCGTCCTTGCGACGCGGGCTGACTGTATGCACCGCTCCTCGAGCCCAGGCCGGGCCTGGGCCCCTAGGGCAGTGGGCGCGCCCAGATCCCGCCCCCCCCCCCTCGCGGAGATCGCCGCCCCCCGCCTCCGCAGATGGGATCGAGGATCCCGATCCAGGAGGAAGGTCGAGGAGGATCGTGGGTCGAGGAGGGGGGTCGAAGGTCGAGGAGGGGGGAGGATCGAGGGTCGAGGAGGAAGGTCGAGGAGGATCGAGGCCCGAGGAGGGAGGTCGAAGGTCGAGGAGAAGGAGGGAGGTCGAGCGTCGAGGAGGGAGGTCGAGGATCGAGGAGAAGGGAGGTCGAGAATCGAGGAGGGAGGTCGAGAATCGAGGAGGAGGGAGGTCGAGGATCGAGGAGAGAGGTCGAGGATCACATGTACACCGCTCTGGGGCTCAGGCTGGGCCATGGCCGATAGGGCAGCGGCACCTCCTCCTACCCCTCCTCCTCCTCGTCCTCCTTCTCCTCCTCCTCCTCCTCCTCCTCCTCCTCCTCCTCCTCCTCCTCCTCTTCCTCTTCCTCCCCCTCCTTCTCCTCCTCCTCCTCCTCCTTCTCCTCCTCCCCCTCCTCCTCCCCCTCCTCCTCCCCCTCCTCCTCCTCCTCCTCCTCTCTTCTCCTCCTCCTCCTCCTCCTCCTCCTCCTCCTCCTCCTCCTCCTCTCCTCCTCCTCCTCCTCCCTCCTCCCCCCCTCCTCCTCCTTCCCCCGTCGTCCATCGGCCGCTGCCGCCTGCTCCTCGAAGGCGCAGAGAGCGCAAGGCGACCACCCACGATTTCTGTCTTTTCCCCGAGGGCGCGATCGGCTGTTGGCAGTGCTGGCGACAGGCCACGACCACCTCGTCTCTCAAATCCCTCGCGTCCCGCGTGTGTGACCCCCAGCAGTTCGGCCCAGGGCATTTGGTCCAGGTGCTCGACCGTGTGCTGATCTGTGCCAGTTGTGGCGCGCATGCTGTGCGGCCCAACCGACTCCTCGATTGGCCTCACCCGTGCCTGTCTGCCTCGTCGTGAGAGGGGCGGTGGTGGAGCTGGGGTGGGCGGGACGCGGGGGCAGAGGGTTCAGAGAATGCTGCAGCAGGCCCAGCGAGGGCGCCACCCCAAGACGGGAGAGGCGCTAGGCCCGCTAAGGCTCGCCCCGATTGCCCACGAGGCCGCCGCTCGGTCTCTTCAAGCCGAGGGGTCGGGGGTGGCGGACGGGGTGGTTGGGGTCGTCCGAGGAGTCGAGGAGGAGGAGGGTCGGAGCCCTGAGCCGCGAGCTTATGCAGCGGCTCTGTGCGGGCCAGCGCCCGTGGCTCCCCACCCCCCCTCGGCTCCCGCGCCGCCACTCCAGCCCGAGTCAGGGGACTCGGACTAGCGGCGGACTCTCCCTCTCGGGCGCGTGGTCGCGCCCGTTCCCGTTCCGAGGCCCAGTCGGGATCCCCTTCTGCGCCCTCGGCCATAGCGCCATAGCCCCCGTCTTCCTCCTCCTCCTCCTCCTCCTCCTCCTCCTCCTCCTCGTCCTCGTCCTCCTCCTCCTCGTCCTCGTCCTCCTCCTCCTCGTCCTCCTCCTCCTCCTCCTCCTCCTCCTCCTCCTCCTCGAGAGAGAGAGAGAGGAGACGGTGCGGCACGTCCTGGCGAACCACCGGCTGCTGCCGCTTGCCTTGAACTTCGCCGCCCGTTTCCTCGTCCGCCGGGCGGAGGAGGATTCGCTCCGCGTGGAGCCCAGGGGGAATCATATGGGGGGACCCAGAGATCCAACGCATTGACAAACATCAAGACGGAGGTTTATCTAAGTTTTTGGCCTCTAGGGGCCCTCGCCGGGCCCGTCAACAACCGACTCAGAATGAGAAGCCCGTCTTGGGAAATGGGTCGAGACTCCTGGGGACCCCGTATTGAAAAAATCACGACATCGGATCTTTGGGGACATGCAAAGAAGGAAAAGGAACCCATACCTCTACCCTTCCCCTGTTTCCCCCTTTCTGGGTCTCGTGGGAGGCCCTCGTCGCTCCTGGTACCCGCTCCACGTGGAGCTCAGGGGGGACGATAAGGGGGGCATTAGAAGAAGACAAAGTAACGCCATAGACAAACTTTGAGCGCTCTGTGCGGATTTCTTGGATTCGCGCTGGGCCCCCCTTGGCGGCGCCTCCGGCGATGCCCCTGGCGCGCTCCGCGCGCCAGGGAGAGGGGTCCAGCGCAGGTCCAAGAAAGCTGCGCGGAGCGCCAACAGTTTATGTTCATGGCGTTTCTTTCTCTCTTTCTCCTCAGCAGGAGGCTCAGAGGAGGAAGCAGTACCCGTACCGCTGCTCTTCCCTCGTTCTCCCTTTTTGGGGTCTTTTGGGAGGCCCTCGTCGCTACCGCTGGACTCGCCTCGAAATCCTGGCCAGAACGCACCCCAGGACACGTCCGAGGAGAAGCGGCATCGGTACCCTCTGGTTTCCCCAGATAGGCATAGGCACAGGATGCATCGACCTTAGTGGGCCTTGGAAACGACAGGGCCGTTTTTGACTGGTTTCGTTTTGACGTTTTTCTGTCGGTTCCGTCGCCGTTGTTTGACCGGTTCCGGCTCCGGTTCCAATCCTGGAGCCGTTTTTTTGCCGTTTCCGGTCGACTTTTTTTGCCGTTTCCATTTTCAAGGGATTTTTTTTGGAAACGGTGAAGAAACGACCCTGCCGTTTCCGGAGCCCACTAAGGCATCGACCCCCAATCGCCCATTGACCGCCGATAGGGGTCTGAGAGCCCCAGTCCGCCCAGGAAGGTGCGAGTTCATGATGGTTCGGTAGCACACCATGGGAGCCTCGTGGACCCCCGCAATGCCGCCTGTAGCGTCGTTTAGCGTCTGGGAGTCGACGAGACAGCGCCGACTCAGCGTCGGTCAGCGTCGATGCAGCGTCGACGTAGCGTCGGTGAGCGTCGCTTCAGCGTCGACTGGCAGCGGTTCGCAAGAGCGGGCGGGATGGTATGGGAGGCTCCCACGAGCTGCCCCCCGAAGGGGAGGGGGACGGGCAGCAGGGCGCGACGCAGCGACCCCACGTCGCCCGTGGATCGCCGGAAGGGGTCTGATGGCCCCACCCCGCCCAGGAAGGCGCGAATTCACCATCGGGGGCCTGTCGCCGATCTATCCGCGGTGTATCGCCGATCCCGGGTCGATGCATCACCTCCTGTGCCGGTCCCCCCCCCCCGTACCGTTGCCCAGCCCAGGAAGGGGCGAATTCACGATCGGGGGCCTGTCGCCGATCTATCCGCGGTGTATCGCCGATTCCGGGTCGATGCATCACCTCCTGTGCCGGTCCCCCCCCCGTACCGTTGCCCTTCAGGAGCTGCTGCGGCATGCGCCCGGCGCCCACGCTGGCGTGCAGGAGGTCCGCCCACACGCAACGGTGACCCTTCGCTTCTGGGGGAGTCCTCGCGGCTTCTGGAAGGTTTTCGGTGTCTTCGGGGGAGGCTCAGAAGACTTCTCAGAAGGCCGGATGACTTCCGAGCCTTCTGAAAAGGCCCGCCCACTCCCACGTCTCAGGCGATTGCAATCATGGATCAAGGGGGCGTGGATGAGCGGCGGGTCCTGCTTCCATGGAGAAAATCACGGATTCCTGCCGCCGAGCGAGGCGGCACTGGCCGCACCTTGGGGAGGGCAACTCCCCCGATCCATGGATTTGGCGACCGCGCGCCACATCCATGGACCCCTAATCCGCCGAGCGCGCTCCACTGCTCGCAAAGTGCCTCCTCGCAAGCGTCCGAATGAACGCACGCCTGCTTTTTGCTGCCACTCGTCGCAGCTCCCCCGCGGGGGGGGTCCAGAGGCCACTTGCGAGCAGCTGCCTTGCGAGCAGTGGAGCGCGCTTGTCTACCAATCCGTGCCCAAGGGCGCCCTCGAGGGCACGAAGTGATTCGCGCTTCGCGCTTCGCGGCTCGGCTCCGATTCCTCAGCCTCCTCGTCTCCGGCGCGAGAGCGCGAAGTGATTCGCACTTCGCGCTTCGCGCAGCGCGCAGCGCGAAGTTGGGAGCCTTTGGTGCCTGCGCGCCCCCGACCCGTGCTCGCCGCCGACTCCCCCCCCCCACCCAGCCGAAGAGGGGGGCTGGGCAGGGGAGGGCAGGCGAGGCAGGAGAGGCGGCACGGCCCTCGGGAGGTCCGGGGAGGCCTCCCAGAGGCCTCCTCCTCCTCCTCCGCCGCCTCCGCCTCCGCCTCCTCCTCCTCCTCCTCCTCCTCCTCCTCCGCCTCCTCCTCCCTCCTCCTCCTCCTCCTCCTCCTCCTCCTCCTCCTCCTCCTCCTCCTCCTCCTCCTCCTCCTCCTCCTCCTCCTCCTCCTCCCCCCAGAAGCATTCTCCAGGCTCGAATGCTCGATCCTCTCGCCCCTGGCCAGGCGTGCCCTGAGCCCCAGACCCCCGGCGTCGAGACTTCTTCACAGCGCCGACCTCCGGAGGTCTGGGGACCCCTCCCCTGGGGCCGCCTTCTCGTCCTGGGCGTCCTGCTCGACGGTCCGGAGGCCCCGCGAGGGGGCCCGGAGGCCGAAGAGGGCGAACGAAGCCTCCCGTCGTGATCTCTTCGCACCGCGAGGGGGTCTGGACGCCTTTCTGGCTGACCCCAAATCTGCCCTGGATTCCTTGGATTTTTGTGGGCTCCCAATCAGATCTTGACGATCCTCGATCGACACATGTGGACTTCCACTGAACAAGTCGCGGATCTCAGGGTCGGGTTTCTTGCGGAGGGTTCTTGTGGCCGAGCCCCCACTGTTCTGCACGAACGAGATGGGCACGGAAAGAATGGGTACAATGTCCAACAGCAGTTCCTGTTCATTTCGAACAGGACTCGCTGTCCCCGCCGCCGCGGCCCGTGTCCACTCGAGACAGAAGGCCGCCTGCCCCAACAGCGGCCGCGGTTGGTTTGGGACAACATTTGCTGTTGGGCATTGTGCCCATTTCTTCCGTACCGATTTCGGGCGTCCAAACGAAAGGCAATCCAGCGGAAAGGGAGTGGTGCAATAGATTTGGTGCCATAGATAGGGGGTGGGGTGCAGCAGGTTCGGGGCGTGCAGTACACTGTCTGTCTGAAGCGTCGTGCTGCACTTCCGCTTGCTGTACACTGGTTACAATACAGTGCAAAACAGTTCTCCGGCGCAATACATTAGAACTCCAATTGCCCCAAATCTCTTGCACCATCCCCTTTCAGCTGGACCCCCTGTTAGGTCGACCAAGTTCTCGGATCGGCGTTGGCCCCCCCAGCGCCGCGGCCTCCGGCACCGACTCCTGGCGCACCTCCGCGCGCCAGGAAGGGGTGGTCCAGCGCCTGAAGTCCGCGCGCAGCGCCGAAAGGTTCTGTTTATGCTGCTTCTGTCGAAGAAGGAAAAAATGCCATAGACAAACTTTTGGCGCTCCGCGCGTATTTCTTTGACCCTCGCTGGGCCCCCCGGGCAGCGCCTCTGGCGCCGCCCCCTGGCGCACTCCGCGCGCGCGGGAGGGGCGCCAAAAGTTTATGGTTATGAGGCTTTCTTTTGTGCTTCATTATGATTATGATTATTTGTATTAGTAGTAGTGGTATTATTAGTTTTATTATTTTTTGTGACTATTGTTATTATTATTAGTATTATTAGTATCAATATTATTATTAGTAGTATGGTTATTATTATCAATTCTCGAAGTACTTACCCGGGCACAGCAGTCATCGAAAGTAATGGATCCCCTCACCCTAAGATAACAATGAAGACATGGCCTAATGTAGGTGCTCGTTTATGCATGAGGGATGGTCCACCTGGGTGGCCTAGCTTGTGATACATCTGCAGAAAAAAAACAACATCTCTTAAGTTTTGACGTCCAGATCAGGTGCGCTCCCGAACGGTTAGGGGTCTTTGATTGCTAATCAGCCAAGGTCTCCCGATCGCTGCACGTCAGGGGATGAGAAGATTCCGACACACCATTCTCGTCGTGGAGAGCCCTGGTCGCCACGGCCAGATTCTCTTCGAAATCTTGTCAGGACGCACCCCAGGGGGAGGAGGAGGGAGTAAGGAGGGAGGGAGGAGAGGGTGAGGAGGAGGAGGAGGAGGAGGAGGAGGAGAAGGAGGAGGGGGGCGAGGAGGAGGACGAGGAGGAGGAGGACGAGGAGGAGAAGGGGAGGAGGAGGCGGAGGAGGAGGAGGAGTCCATGGAGTAGTATGACCAGTATCATGTGGCTTCCCCTGAGCACGGTGCGATTGTCAGCAGCGTCCGCGCTTGGTTGGGTCTGGTCCCCCTTCCGCGCTTGTGTTTCCCCCCCCTCAAGCCGCGCACCAACGGCCACTCCTCCTCCTCCTCCTCCTCCTCCTCCTCCTCCTCCTCCTCCTGCTCTTTCTCCTCCTATCCCTTCCTCCTCCTCCTCCTCCTCCTCCTCCTCCTCCTCCTCCTCCTCCAAGCCGCGCCACCAACGGCCACTCTTGCCTCCCGTGCTGGGTCCCTTGTGGCGAGTGGCCGAGAGGTGGTTGCCTGCCTGGACTTCCCGGTGTCCCGCCTGCTGACGGCGGAGGGCATGAGGCCGGGGGTTCGTAGCGGGAGGGTTATCCCGAAGAGGAGGAGGAGGAGGAGGAGGAGGAGAAGGAGGGGGATGGGGGAGGAGGAGGAGGATTAGGATGAGGAGGAGGAGGAGGAGGAGGAGGAGGAGGAGGCCTTCTCCTTCTCACTTCCCCCCCCTGCTGGGTGCCTCTGTTTGACGCGGTCCCTTCTTCCCGGGGCCCCTGGGAGCGCGTGTCCTCTCCGCCCCACCTCGGCCCCCGACCCCACCCGGTGCCCCCCCCGTCGAGGTTGGGGCGGCGAGGTCTAGACTTCTGCTGCCGCCCTTGGCTTATCAGGAGGCGAAAATACACACAGACACAATGAATCGTCGATTCCCCAGAAAATGTGTGAACATACGTATGGGAAGTGGGGGGGTAAGACAGAAACCCAAAAAAATATTGGAAAAGGTTGGGAATCCTGTCATTTGTGTCTATGTATTTGTGTGTCCCAGGGCCCCTTCATAGACTTCTGCTGCCGCCCTTGGTTTATGATGTCCCAACCTGCTTTAGCCTGGACCGCCAGGAAGAATTTCGAGCACCGAGAAAGTGCCGAAACTGGAGGGTTTTCACGTGTCGGGCCCTGGTAGACACTCGCTCGACGCTGTCTCGACACTGTTTCGACACTTTTCGGAGTGGTCCTTAAGTGCGATGGGAACAACATAACCCTTGGCTAGGACATCCTCTCGGGCCCCATCTGGCGGTCGCTGCCCCACTGACCAGACACTGGGGTTCAGTCGGGCGTGACCCTCTGCAGGAGGAAGATTCAAGAGTAGTATAAAAAATAGGCTGGGGACGAGCTCTCTACTATGTTTGACTCTTCTGGAGTATTATTTGTCTGTCGTCCAAGATCCGCCTGCAGGAGGACATTCCCGACCTATTCTCAAGTCGGGCGTGTCCTCCAAACATAGTTTTAAACATAGCCTGGGGACTTTTTATTGGTTCTTGATTGACTATTTGGGTGTATGTTTGGAGTGTCCTTCATTCATCTCGCCCAACAAAAATCCGCCTGCAGGATGCCCGACCTACAATCCCCGCGGGGCGCGTGCAGCGCCGGCAGGGGGTCCGGGGAGGGGCCTGGCAACGGGGCGGCGGAGGGGCAAGCGCCCAGACAGCCGACGACGGAGACGTCTCGGCCCAGACGTCGGGCGTCTCGAAAAATCGAGACGGAGGTTTTTCTCCGGAGGAAAAACACACACCGGCACAATTAACCGTCGATCCCTAGGAGAGTATGGGAAACTATGGGAAGTGGGGGGGGAAGACAAACGCCCAGAACATACAGGAAAAGATGGGGAATCTGGTTATTTGTGTGTATTTATTTGTATGTCCCAGGGCCCCTTGATTTTCATTGTTTTTAGCCTCTCGGGGCCCTCCCCGGGCTTCGGGGCCGTCAAAAAAAAGACTCGGGAGGACAAGCCCGTCCCGGGGAAGTGGTCGGGATGTCGGGGGCCCACGTCTCGAGAAAAAATGTCTGGGGGAGGAGGAGGAGGAGGAGGAGGAGGAGGAGGAGGAGGAGGAGGAGGAGGAGGAGGAAGGTAACTACCCAGACATCCGACGACGGGGACCCAGACATGGTCGCGCCATAAACAAAATCAGGACGGAGGTGTTTGTCTACCGTTTTCGGCCTCGGGGGGCCCTTGCCAGGCCCCGGGGCCGTCAAACAACTACTCAGGATGAAAAGCGTGTCCCAGGGAAAGGGCGCCGCACTGAGAAAATCAGGACGTCGCATGTCCGAGGACGTTTTCCTATCCGCTGCCCTAGAGCTCCAGACTCAGACGCCCGACGTCATGATTTTTTCATGACGTCGACCCCCACGGAAGTCTCGACCCCTTCCCCAGGACTGGTGTTTCATCCTGGGTCCTTTTTTGACGGTCCCGAGGCCCGTGAGAGGCCCCCAGAGGCTGAAAATAGCGAAAAACCTTCCGTCTTGATTTTTGCTCCATGACTCGAGGGGGTTGGGGGACCTGGATGTCCCGACCCTTTCCCCCAGGCCTGTGGTTCGTCTTCGAGCCGCTTCTGGCCGGTCCCGGGGCCCGGCGCGGGCCCCCGAGGCCCGAAAAAAGGCGAAGCACATCCACCCTGATTTTTGTTTGTTTGCGACGCGACCATGTCTGGGATTGCTTCAGACAGACGAGGAGGAGGAGGCGGAGGAGGAGGAGGAGGAGGAGGCGGAGGAGGAGGAGGAGGCGGAGGAGGAGGAGGAGGAGGAGGCGGAGGAGGAGGAGGAGGAGGAGGAGGCGGAGGAGGAGGAGGAGGAGGCGGCGGAGGAGGAGGAGGACCCGCGGTGCCAAGAAGCCGAGGCTCGCGTCTCGGCGGCGCGCCCATAGGGGCAGACGGGACAGACGGGGTTGGCCTTCTCGGGAAGCTCCGGAGGCCTCCAGCCTCACGTCGGGCCCGTCCCTCTACAGGAGGAAGACTCGAGAATCGTGAAGCACATGGTCTGGTACGATGAGATTTTTGCTATTCTGAAAACTTCGAACACTTTTGGCTGTTGTGATTTGCTCAATGTTCGTCCCAAGCCCCCCTGTAGGGGGGCGTGCCCGAGACACGGGCGCCCGACGCCCCCGACCCCCTCCCCGGGACCGGCCTCTCCTCCCGCGCCATCCTGTTGACGGTCCCGAGGCCCGGCGAGGGCCCCGAGATGCCAAAAGCGATGGCAAAAACCACTGTCTCGATTTTTGTTGATACGCCCGATGTCTGGGAATGGGCGAAGGAGGGAGGGGCGAGGGAGGGGCCGAAAACATAATGAGCGACAAAAGTTCCTGCCGTGTTTTTCCCGCAGCGCGAGGGAGTCTTGAGTACTCCGAAACAGTAGAAACATAGTCTGGGGGCGATGTTTGTATTACTTTGTAACCTTTTAACCATTTGTTTTTGTCGATTTTTCATTCTTCGTTCAAAATCCGCCTGTAGGAGGACATGCCCGACCTAAAAGTGCTGCTTCGAAGCGTCCACTTCCGGAGGGCCCCGAGAAGCCGAAGACGACAAACGCCTTCCGCCAGGAGGATCGCGCCGCATCGCCGATGCTTTGGCGATGCATCGGCAGCAATGCATCGACGATGCGGCTCGATGTGAGGCCCAACTTTGCGCTCTCATCCCGAGCCTTATGATGTTCCAACCTGTGTTAGCCTTGACCACCAGAAATACTCACGCCAAAAAAGTAACGAAACTCCAGGGTTTTCACGTGTCGGGCTTTGGGAGACACTCGTCCGACATTGTTTCGACACCGTTTCGACACTATTTCGACACTTTTCCGGGTGATCGACATTATTTCTGAGATGTGGCCTTTAAGTACGACGTGAGCAACATATCGGAGGTTGATAGACCTCCTACCCTGACACGTCAATTAGCGAATTGGCCGTTTTCGGTTCGCGAGAGGGCGTCGTGGTCGTCATTTTTGCGGGTCCAGGTCCGTCGGTTTCGGTCCTAGGCCGTTTTCATTAAAGGGAGGCTTGTCCACCGCCGAACATAGCTCGAGCCGTTGTTTGACGGTCCCGAGCCGTTTTCTGGCGGTCCCGGGCCGTCTTTGACAGTATATCCCAAAGCCCGAAGCCGGGCGGTCCAAGGCGGGAATTCACACACGACCACCGCTTGGAGGATCTATTTTCGGGGACCTCGGCAGGCGGTGGATATGGACACTTTCGGGCCCCCGGGGGCCAAAATATATCCATACCTTGAAGTCGGGCCTGTCCCTCTGCAGGAGGAGTATACAAAAAGTAGTAGACAAATTGTCGGGTGACGATTTTGTGACTATATCTGACTTTTTGTGTATGTTTGAACTGTTCATTGTTCGCCCACAATCCGCCTGTAGGGGGACATGCCCGAGCTAAATCCATGCCCACCTCAAGTTGGGGCACCAGGACGTCGGCTCCCAGGCGGTGGATATGGACGAATCCCCGTCTCGCAGGCGAGGGCCCCAAGAGGCCGAGAACGACGAGAAACCTCCGCCCGAGAGGTCGAAAGCGCCGAAAAGCTTCCGCCTGGATTTAAGACGGGCACGTCCCTCTGCAGGAGGAACATGCAAATGTACAGAACACGACAAAATAGTCTGGGGACGATTTTTGTTTGTTTTTTTTTTGTTTGGCCATTTTTGATGTTTTTTGTTTTTTTTGTTTTTTTCTCCAAGATCTGCCTGTAGGGGGACACGCCCGACCTGAGCCTGGATGCCCTCGAGGCCCCCGGCGTTCGGGCTGGCCGCCCTCTGCGCGCCACCGAGCGTCCCTCGCACGGCACGGTGTCTGCCGCCGCACGCTGGGCCTCCTACAGCAGTACGTCGGGCCTGTCCCCTTATGGGCGGGGCACTCCGGATTCCATGCCAAAGGGGGGTGGGTCACATTTGGGGGGGGTCTGACTCGAGCTGTCTTGGAGGGTTCGGAGGGGGTCTGGGCAAGGGGCCGCCCTTTCATGGATGGTCTGGGGGGGTCTGAAACTTCTCGTCTGGGAGGGTCGTGACCCCCTCCCTTTTATCACGGAATCTGGAGTATGCAAGAACAGTAAACAAAAACACAATCGGAGGTTGATAGGTCTCCGACCCCGACACGTCGATTGGCGGATTGGCCGCGTTCGGTTCGCGAGAGGGCGTCGCGGCCGTCCTTTTTGCGGGTCGAGGTCCGTCGGATTCGGTCCTAGGCCGTTTTCATTACAAGGGTGGTTTATTAAAGGGAGGCTTGTCCACCGCCGATACAGGAGGAATATTCAAAAACAGTAAAACACAGTTTAGGGACGATTTGTTACAAGCATTTTTCAGACTATGTTTGAGCAATGTTCTTCCTCCGAAATCCGCCTGTAGGAGGACATGCCCGACCTAATCCTAGCAGATGGGGGCGGAGGACCACACCGCCTCGGCGATGCGTCGGCGATGCTCACCAGAGACCAACGTACCTCTCCCACCAGCAAGGGGGGTGGCTGTCCCACCCTCTCGAGCGGGTGGCACGTCGTTCCGGGCGTGCCTCCTGAGGGTGCCCGGAAGGAGGTGCCACCAGTTCGACCGGGGCCTAAGAGACGGGGGTCAGAGTCAGTGCAAACGGAGGTCAGCCAGGGCGCTGGATCCTGCAGGATCCTGCGAAGACCCCCCCTGGCTGACCTGGGTTAGCGAGCCGCTCGTGGCCGCGAGGCGGCCGCCGCGCACATTGGCTGACCCGGGTGTGCGAAGACCTGCGATGCAGTTTTTTTTGTCCTGCATTTCAGTTTTTCGGTTTCTTGCTGACCCGGGTCTGGATTGACCCGGGTCAGAAGATCGCCGATTCGAGGGTATCGGGGGCGGCAAAGAGGGGGGTGATGACTAGGGGGGGGGGGATATCATGGCGGGGACCATGATATTTCCCCAGATTTCATGGCGCCTCTTCTCATTTCGTTACGTCCCTAGCCCCCCTCGCTGGGCCGCGCACGGGGCGCCGGTCAGACGTTGCGCCCCCCCTCTTGGACACCCCCCTCTTGGCCGCTCCCGATCGGTGGTAATGGTGCTCGTGCCCGAGGGCCCGAGGGGAGGGAGCAGCCCCCCCCCCCGAGCTGGTGGCAGTGGTGCCCGTGCCTCCCCCGCGGTGCGGGCCGGCGTGGCGAGGCCCGCTGTTCTCCGCGCCGGCGCCGCCGACGCGTCGCGGGGGCATCGCCGAGGCATCGCCGAGGCATCGCCGGTGGATCGCCGATGCTCAAAAGCTGGGCGAGGGTTATGATGTTCCAGCCTACTTTAGCCTTGATCACCAGAAAGAAGCACTCAGAAAGTACCCCACCTCGAGGCTTTTCGCGTGACGGGCCCTGGGAGACACTCGTTCGACACTGCTTCGACATTCTTTCGATACTTTTCCGTGTGCTCGAAATTATTTCTGGGATGTGGTTCTTAAGGAAGAGGGGAGCAACATGAGGCGAGGGCTGCTAAAACCGTGGCTGCTAAAACGGCCCCCCCAGAAGGAAGAAAAACCTGTCCGGAATGAGGCGCGGCACGCGAAACAGTCAGCGGGCTTCTTCCCGGAAGGACGAAGACAACTTCCCGGATGCCGATTTTAGTAGCTACGGATTTAGCAGCCCTTGCCCGGCTTCCGAGAGGCATCGCCGAGGTATCGGCCGTGCGGCGAGATTCTCAGGGCGGGCACGTCTTCCTACTGGCGGATGTTAGGAGAAACACTGAAACCAGGCCACACGCAAGTCAAGGCAGTCTGAGATCGTCGAGGAATTGTAGCCCAGGCTGTTTGATTTGTTTGATGTTCCGGCTGTAGAGGGATGTGCCCGGCTCGAATATACCCGGACCCCATCTAGGATTATGACGTTCCAACCTACTTAGCCTTAAGTCGGGCCTGTCCCTCTACAGGGGGAATATTCCCAAATAGTCAAAAAATGGTATGGGAACTATGTTTTAGCATTTTTCTGCAATTTTGATGCATTTTTGGGGTATGTGTTATTTTTCGTCGAAAATCCCTCTGTAGGGGGACACGCCCGACTTAAACTTAGCCTTGATCACCAGAGGGAACCTCGAGCACCAAGAGAAGAGAGTACCGAAGCTGCAGGGTCCTTGCGCGTCGGGCCCCGGGAGGCGATGTACTCCTTCGACACCGTTTCGATACTTGTTTGTTTCTGGGTGCTCGAAACTCCTTCTGGGATTTCAGGGGAACGGAGCATACATAAACAAAAACTCAGAGGTCCGCGCGGCTTTCCCGGATCCGCGGTGGATCCCCCCTCCCTTTTGCGCGGGGCGCTCCAGGGGCGGCGCCGCGGGGCGCTCCAGGGGCGGCGCCCTAGGCGCCGCCAGGGGGGGTCCAGCGCTGATTCGAGAAATCCGCGCGGACCTTCGAGTTTTTCTGTTTATGTAATTCTTCGTTCCCCTAGATTATGTTTAATGTAAATATGGTATGTTTATGTTTAATGTTTATGTTTATGTTTATTTGGTCCTTGAGTACGATGGGGACAACATGACCCAGAGGCCCCCAAGGGACCCCAGAGGCGCCCCCGAGGGGCTCGAGGTGGCTTTCGAGACGTCTCCGAGACGCCCCCCAGGAGATTCTCACAGGACATCCAAGAAAGCGGACGGGGAGCAGAGCGGGAGGAGAGGGATGGAGGAGGAGGAGGAGGCGGAGGAAGAAGAGGAGGAGGAGGAGAGGGATGGAGAAGGAGGAGGAGGAGGAGGAGGAGGAGGAGAGGAGGAGGAGGGGAGGGAGAGGGATGGAGGAGGAGGGGGCGGAGGCGGAGGAGGAGGAGGAGGTAGGAGGAGGAGGAGGAGGAGGAGGAGGCGGAGGATGATGAGTTGGGGGAGGAGGCGGCCTCTGCGTACGGACCGCGCCGTGCCGCGAGGGTCTCCGACGAGTTCACCTTTGCACCCGCGGCGCGGCTGCCCGGCCCCGCGCGGGGCGCGCCGGGCGGGGCGCCCTCCAGGGAGCTGGCCGGCCGTGCGAGGGGCGTCAGGTCTCGGGAGCCTTGAGACGGGGGTGAAGGAGGATGAGGAGGAGGAGAAGGAGCAGCAGCAGCAGCAGGAGCAGGGGCAGGAGCAGGAGCAGGAGCAGGAGCAGGAGCAGGAGGAGGAGCAGGAGCAGGAGGAGCAGTAGCAGGAGGAGGAGGAGAAGGACGAGGAGGAGGAGGAGTAGGAGGAGGAGGAGGAGGAGAAGGAGGAGGAGGACTATTCCAAAATAGTCAGAAGATGGTACGGGGATGAATTGTCCATCATTTTTTGGGGTATTCTTGGGTATTAGATGACTATGTTTGATTTCCCTTTCAAGATCTGCCTTCAGGGGGGCATGCCCGACCTAAGAGAAGGCCTGCGGCCTTCTGAGAAGCGGGACCTGCGCCTTCTCGGAAGACACAGACGGTTTCTCAGAAGACCGGGCAGACCAGACCCAACCTTTTTCGGGAGCTTTGAGACGGGGGTCAATGCTAATGGGGGTCAGCCAGAGCGCCCGATCTTGCAGGATCCTGCAGGGCCAGGGTCGCACTGGCCCAGGGTTAATGCAGACGGGGGTCAGCCAGAGCGCCCGATCCTGAAGGATCTTGCAGGGCCAGGGTCGCACTGACCTGGGCTTGGGTGCAGGATCTTGCAGGATCTTTCGCGCTGACCCGGGTTTGGGCGCAGGATCTTGCAGGCTTTTGCAGTGCAGGATTCTGCAAGGCCTGACTGACCCGGGTCTGGATTGATCCGGGTCAGAAGATCTCCGAAGGTCGGCAGCTAAAAGAAGGTCGGCCACATGTGCAGAGGGGGGTAGGAGGAGGGGGTAAGGCTTCTTAGAAGCACCCTTGCTCCTTAGAGGACACGGTCCTTCTTTCTACATGTGAGGCCGGCGCCTTCTAAGAAGCAGCCCCTTCTGAGAAGCCTTCCCCCCTGCCCCTACCCCCCTCTGTGCGCCGCCAAGAAGGAGCCTTGATCGGGAGATGCTAAAGTCGACGCATCGGCATAACCATGAACTTTTTGGCCCTCCGCGCGGATTTCTTGGATCCACGCTGGGCCCTCCTCCACGGCGGCGCCTCCGGCGCCGCCCCTGTCGAGTTCCGCTCGCCAGGGAGGGGGTCCGGGCATATCCAAGAAATCCGCGCGGAGCGCCACACGTTTATGTTTATGCCTTGTTTTCTTCCTCTATGCTAAAGGTGCCCCTGGCCCAAGCTGCCCCCAGCTCTTCGCCCAATTTTGGAGCCCCTCGTGAAGGGTACTCTGGAAGCCGTTGGGGCCTCCATGGAAATCCTGGGGGCACAGTGGGCCAGGTGCACTTCGAACCGCATGTGGACTGTGCCACTGGGGCCGTCGGTGGAGCTCCCTATAAACCACGAAACGTGTGAGGGGTGTGCCGACATGAGCGGGGGACCGCATGTGGACCCTGCCACTGGGGCCGTCGGTGGAACTCCCTATGGGGCCACGAAGCGTGTGCGTGATGTGCTCAACTGGGCGGGGAACCGCATGTGGACTCTGCCACTGGGGCCGTCGGTGGAGCTCCCTGTGGGTCCACGAAAGGTGTGAGGGGTGCGCCGACACGAGCGGGGAACGCATGTGGACCCTCCCACTGGGGCCTTCGGTGGAGCCCCTTTTGGGGCCACAAAGCGTGTGAGGGGTGCCGAAATGGGTGGGAGGCGCACGCGAACCTTGTCGTTGGGGCCTTAGGTGGAGCCCCTTGTTAGGGGGCCGCGACTCGTGTAACAGGTGTGCCGAATTGGGCGGGGAACCGCGTGCAGACGGTGCCACCTGGGCCTTCGGTGGAGGTCCCTATAGGGCCACGAAGCGTGCGAGGGGTGTGCCGAACTGGGCGGGGATTCGCATGCGAACTTTGCCTCTGGGTCTCTCGGTGGAGCTCTCTATGGGATCACGAAGCGTGCGAGGGGTGTACCGAAATGAGCGGGGAAACGAATGTGGACTGCGCCATTGGCCCCGTCGGTGGAGCTCCCCGTGGGGCCACGACGCGTGTGCGCGGTGTGCTCAAATGGGTGGGGAACCGCATGCGGACCGTGCCACTGGGGCCGTAGGAGGGGCTTTTATTTGGGCCCCGAAACGTGTGAGGGGTGTGCGAAAAGGGGCGGGTGGACTTTGCCACTGGGGCCTTCGGTGGAGCTCCCTATGGGGGCCAGGAAGCGTTCTAGGGGTGTGCCCAAATGGGCGGGGAAACGCATGTGAACTTTGCCACTGCGGCCTTCGGTTGAGCTCCTTTTGGGGCCACGAAGCGTGCAAGGCGGACAGGCGGAGGGCAGAGGCAAGGTTTTGAGGAGGGAGGAGGATGAGGAGTAGGAGGAGGAGGAGGAGGAGGAGAAGGAGGAGGAGTAGGAGGAAGAGGAGGAGTAGGAGGAAGAGGAGGAGGATCACTGTCAACCCCAGACCCATCAACGCTGTTGAAACAGAGGTCGCGCCGCTGGATGCCCCCAAGGGGGTGGTGAGGGGTCCAGGACCTCCTCCCCCAAGACCCCCCCCTCCCCCCTTTGCCTGGCCCGTCGTCGGCGGACCCCCAGCCCCCCTTTCCCGATCTGTCGTCGGCGGCCCGTCCCCCCCCTTCCCCCTCCTCCCCCACCGCCCTTAGGATTGCCAGATTGCCCCCCCCCCCCCGCCCTCCCCCCCCCCCTTCTCCGCCTCCCCCCTTTCAAGGGGGGGGGGACTCGGACACACCCCCTTTACTCCAGGACCTGGCTCCATAACCCTATCCCAAACCCCTAACGTAACCCTAATTAATGCCAACCCTCGCCCTAACCATCACCCTTACCCTAAACCCGAACCCGAACCCGAACCCGAACCTACACTCTAACCCCTAACCTCAATTCCCCGCCCTGAGTCCAACCCTACCCAACCCCCCTTCAACCTCACCACCCCTAACCTACTACTACGACCCTGAATCCGAACCCTGAACAGGAATCCTTTCTTAACAACCGAACCCTAACCCCCTAACCCTAACCTTAGACCCAACCCGACCCCTAATCCTACCATCCTAACCCTAACCCCCATAACCCCAGACCCCCCGAACCTGAACCGCTGAACCCTAACCCTAACCCTATCCCGACCCCCCTAACCCTAACCCTAACCGCCTATCCTTACTTCTTGTGATGAAGCACCCCCAAACCCCTACCGAGCCGGCCGATAGCAGACCCGCCGTCCTAACTGCCAACAGCATATACAGACTCATGTTTTCCCCGCCAGCATGCCGTCGAGTTGCGAACAGTATAGCAGGAATGGGACGGATTGAACATCGCTTGGGTGACCCTAAGCGGGTGGTCGCGTCCTACCTATCCACAAGACAATACGAAGTCAACGTATTTCTTGACGACACGGACTTTCTTGTCGTCGACGCTGCGAAAAGTGTAGCAGGAATGGGACGGAATGACAGTAATGCTGGATCGAATCGTCCGCCGTTGGGCACCCCAATACGCCGTTGGGCTGCCGCGCTGAGTGCGCTCAGTGTCTTTGCTCTGTTCCGAACACAATGCGAGGCGCCATGGTGGCCTCTCCGCGAGCCCCCCCTCTGACCTCTTCGTTGGTTTCGTCCGTGAGGGGATTCGTGGCCATTCGCAGGCCATGGCTTTATTCAGCTCGACGCGCAAGCGTCGGCGGCAAGATCAGTAGCTTTCCCCTCCCCCCACTTGTTTCACTCCTTTTAGGCATCATTTGTGGATATTCTAGGGCACCTGGTGTCTTCTGCCCAGCGCGAGGTACATTTAGCGCGGGAGGCTCATTGCAGGCGTAGTTATTCCCTCCTCTTGCTCCCCCTCCTCCCGTTCGTCCTCTTCTTCTGTCTTCCCCTCTCCTTTTTGCTGCTTGCCTTCCTCTTTCTGCT